AAAAAAAAAAAAAAAAAAGGGAAAATAAAAGACCACCAGGCCAATATTAGGATTGAATTCCATCACTCTAAGTCTGTGAGAGTGTACTTGACAGCCAAGTGTGCCAACACAGTACCTTGACCATCAAGAGTTCTGTGCTTTATACAAACCTATTGTCTTTCTTTCTTTCTTTTTTTTTTTGAGTTGGAGTCTCACTCTGTCGCCCAGACTAGAGTGCAGTGGCCGCTCCCGGCCACCGCAGCTTCGACTTCCTGGTCTCCGGTGATCCTTCCGCCTCAGCCTTCAAGTAGCCGGAACTACAGGCGCGCACTACCATGCCCGGCTAATTTTTTTATTTATTGTAGAGATGAGGTCTCACCAAATTGCCCAGGCAGGTCTTGAACCCACGGGCTCAGGCAATCCACCCACCTCAGCCTCCCAAGGCGCGGGATTATAGGCCGAGCCACCGAGCCCGGCTTACAAGCCTATTTTCTTTACTAAATTAGCATCTTTTACTTTTGTAACTGTGATCGATTTTTGTTATGCACCACAATTATACTGTTTGAAGTCACCATGTACATTGAATTATCTGATACTGAGCCATCAATCCTTAGGGAAATACAGGGTTGGGTTTCTGCGAGCTTCTGGTTTATTTGTCAGTCCATAGCACATAAGCTTGTTTGGGGTATGTATCTGTTTAAAGACAACTTATTTAATATGTATTGTTGATTCATGAACATTACAGTCAACAGCACTGTAATTCATGCCTAAAGAAAGTTTGTCTAACACGTAAATTATTCTCTGTAAGGCATGGCATAACTTTCTAGGGCCTAGGAACACTGTTCAGCACTGCATTTGGGGGCCATTTAAAAAATCAAAATCACCAACAAAAATCACAAAAGTGTGAAAATGTGGCACTAACTAGGCGGATAAAGGACACTTACTTAACATCATCATTTCATATGAGCTGGACACGTGTATGTCTGGAGACTCAAAATTTTCACCCCTCTGCATATGTTTGCAGATGACCTCAAAAGTAGTACCGGCTTGGGGACTACAAATACATTTTAAGGAGTAGGCAAATTCTCAACGGCCGGGCTCAGTGGCTCAGCCTGTAATCCCGCACCTTGGGAGGCTGAAGTGAGTGGATTGCCTGAACACGCGGGTTCGAGACCCACCTGGGCAACTTGGCGAGATCTCATCTCCACAATAAATCAAAAA